AACATCATGGCACACGGCACCCATAAGTGCTCCGTTCTTCTTCCAACTGAAGTCTAAAAGTGAACAGGCTCTGTAGCTGCGGCAAGAATCCTGAAATACTTTGGGAAGATTTTAAACTCCAAATTTTTGCCAGGGCAGCGCGTTAGGCTACTCATTTCAATTTCCAACTGCCAAGAGATTGTTTTTACGTGCACAACAGTACACGCGGGCGTCCGATCTCACTACACAGAGACCCAGGGAAATTACTAAAGTCCAAGTCCAGCCCTTGCCGGGGATTGAACCCATAACCTCTAGCACTCAAGATACACCATAGACCACGCAGCCCCCCTTTATCTCATCTCAATGGCTGGTGTAAGGGCATTATTACTGTGTTAACCGAAGATAATAAAACAACAGCATACACGCACTCAAAAATGTCATGATAAACAAAGAAGCGAAAAACAGATAAAGACATATCAACTTACCTAAACACAATAGCCCTAGACAAGCGCTCGACAAGGCGTATACAGAATTGTGTCGAGGTTCATGGGTTTTTGATTCCGCGCAGAAATAGGAGCTGTAAAGCTCACGAGGGCGTTTGGTAAGTCGCGCTCAGCGCTGCACGTTGGACAGCGTCTGAATATTGGTTCGTCAGAGGGCGCTGACGAAACGCGTTTAGTGTAGTTTTTTTTTAAATAATTTTAATTTATGATAGGAAACGGAAGGAATAGAGTTTTATATGCTTGCCATCTCATCCTCCTTTTTTTTCCAAAAAGGATGTGCCGCCTAATTTAAATGAAAAGATGAGAAAACCTCCCCTTTTTTCCTAAAAGGATGTGCAGTCTAATTTGAAGGAAAAGATTAGAAAACAAGGTTAACTGTGTATCCTATACAGGACGTTGCAGCCCTTGGCTGTTGTGTGGTTTCTATAGGCAAATTTATGTCTATTAGTTTGCCGTTGCTCCTGGACGGTCGGACCCCTGATACCACTGTCGAAACCAACGTAAGGTGCATGACCTGCAGTTGGGATCGAACCCGGCTACCCGGCATTACGAAGCGTTCGCATCGACTTAGACACAGAGCCGACTTAGAAAACAAGACACACTTGTTATATTAACAACTAGCTGTACCCGGCCACGCGTTGCCGTGGCCCAGAATGGTGAAATGGAGAGGAAAGAAAATAGGTCTCAGCTAACAGTGTCTGTCATATCTCCCACCCATTCCTCTCCCCTCGATCCAATCATATCTTTCTCTCCGAAGGATTGAAAAATCATCCATAGCGAAAATATTAAAATAGAAATAGTTGAGAAATGAGAATTTTAAAATTATATTTTAAGCTCTCTCAGCTAACTGTGTCTGGCATAACCCTCCCCCCCCCCCCCAATCATATCTCCCTCTCCGAAGGAATGAAAAATCATCACCTAGCGAAATTATTAAAATAGAAATAGTTAAGAAATGAGAACTTTAAAATAATGTTTTAAGCTCTCTTAGTTAATATATATATATATATATATATATATATATATATATATATATATATATATATATATATATATAAAATACAAGACCATTTAACAGGCTGAGTTCAATATGCAAGATATAACATGAAATCAAAATACGGCTACAACTCAGGTAATGCTAGTTAGTAGAATTCATAGTTGAATGGTATTTGTCTGAATCAGGTTACAGAATTTAAAAATCCAAGAAGTATATTTTTGGATGACGGGCAAATAAATCGGGAAATAGAAACAAGATGCCAAAGAACTTATGTACCTCCGGATCCAAATGTGGTAGGAAGCCAAAAGCCGTTTAGAATTTAAATGGTTGGCTTCAATTAGGGGAAAAACCTGACAACTTCGAGGATCAGAAGTTGATAAAAAAGACCGTGTAGAGCCCGAAAAGGTCTCTTTAGCTCCCGCCCTTCGACCTCGCCAGCCTCGATGTGGGAATCTCGTTGCTGTGCAATCGCTCGTGACTGTTAACACGACGATTGTTTCCAGGCTGGTGAGTCGGTGAGGGAGGACGTGACTACTTCGCGGTTTCGGTACTTCTCAATGGATAGTTTCGATCCTAGACTTAGATTTTTATCCGCAGTTTAATTGTGTGAGTTAGACCTAGGTAGCAGTGTGTATCCTCGCTCGGGAATATTTTGATCGCTGGTCGCTATTGGCGATTTTACTGATCTTGTGGTATGTTGACGCTTAACGTATATATAAATTTGTTTCGATTTTTGCCAGCACAGATGTGATTTTATTTCTGAACGTATGCGTTCCCTATCATATTTTCTTGTTAGTGGAGTGAGTAGCACATAATCGAGCACGTAGTTGGTTGTTAATGTATTGTTTTTTGTGAAGCAACGTTAGTTTTGTGTTCAGTAAAATAAACAGATGTTAAATGTGTTAACTGTAGTTCCAGTTGTTATGATTCAGATTAGGACTTGTGGTTATTGTGCCTAGATTTACTGATACTGCTGATTAGACGTCACAGAGAACATATCCTGTCTGGGTTAAGACACTTTAGTCTTAGCTCCCTCCTAACGAAGTTTATCTCTTTCTTTTTTCTTGTTACCGAGGCAGCTTGAGTGTGGGTTGACTCACACTCACCACGACATTTGAGCTCTTGTAGGTTTTAAGTAGAGATGGGTTCAAAGAGTAGATTTGTACATTAGCCTTCATAGTATCTCTTCCTTTCCTTTAATACAAGATCCCCCATAGGATTTGCTTCTAGTATACAAACATGAGTATGACCACCTAAAAACAGATTATGAACAGCACATTCATTTCAACGCTGTGCTACCAGTGCCGGACATGGACATTATCAAAGTCTAACATACATAAAATGTTTACCTGTGATATGTTGAATTATGAATCCACATCACAGCACTCGGGACACACCCATAAATACTCAGTCCCCTTCTTCAGCAGCAAACGAAGACTTCCAATTCCGATTGTACCAGTAACCGTCTGGTTGAATATTTATCTCATCCTTCCCCTGAGTGTTGAGCGTCGGCCTGATCCCCTGGTAACTCCTCACAGCGCCATTCTCCTTAGACCGTAATGATCTATCTGTGCCTCGGTACTGTTCACCCGTTCCCAAAATGACCTTCACAATTTCTAACTTGTCTTATATCAGTTCACCACCAAGTGGGGCAAAGCTAGCCAATCTATCTGCCTGCTCATTTCTCAACACACCGGCATAACATGGAAAACATATTCAAATGAGGCAAACTACGTGGGACCTCTGGAGTGATGCTTGCCACTCTGCACGAAGTATGCCTGTTTTCACCTTTCTCAACATTCTCTGTTAGTCAACGTAACCATCCGAGACATGTCAAATGGTGTTATCGGACAGATTGTGGGAACAACTTAATGCACTAAATTCAACGAGTAATTTAAAATCTAATCGTTTGGTTATCTCGTTAGGATGCAGCTCAAACAACTACCAACGTGGGCGCTATTCATAAAAAGATCTAATGTGAAAGCAAAAAGTCGTTCAACTCAAAGGCAAAAAGTGGAAATTGATATGACTGGCGATGATGACTGAAGGTAAGTAAGTAGATTGTTGTACTCCACCATGACATTACACAAGCGATAAACATCCGGTGACACAAAGTGCCACCATGCAGATGAGGATCACCCGTGGAGAGGTCCCAGAAACCCCTTTTAGCCGTTAGGCCATATCTATGCCCAGGCTATATGCAGGGCCCCAGTCAGAAGCCATGGTGGGGCTTCAAATAAAAAATTGCATCCCACACGGAGACGACTTAATATACACAGAATAAAAGGATGATAACTTATTCCAATTCCAGTTGATTAACAAAAATTCCAAACTTGATCCTTTTTCAGTCGCCCAAAGACCTGCTATATGAAGGAGGTCTGGAGGTGACAGGTTCAATTCCCGGCACGGTAATTTCTGTAACCTAAGGTGCCATTCAAATGGTTTAAAGTGAATTCTGTCCGTATTCCATAGTTGTGGATTTCTCAAACCCAACCCATGAACGATAGACATGGCCAATAAGACACCTTTTTTGGGGGTGCCTTGTTGACCATGTTCTTAGTGCACTTGTGTCCATGGCGAGGCGCAGACGCCGTCTGGGGGTGACAGGTTCAATTCCCTGCACGGTAACTATAGCTTCTCATTTTTATGTTGTCTAGTGTGTTCTTCTATCTTTCTACTTCTTTCTATGAGTGCCGATCAATACACTCTCTGTTACTTGATTAATTCATAATATATGAAGAAAGGTTCCTTGGCTGTCTTATTTGGTTTCCTGTTCTTTTTGGTGTGAAGTCACACCTGCTATTCCTGTTCTGGGCCCGGTCTGGCTTCTATTTCTGTGGGTTTTAGTAGACTGTTGCTTGGTTTAGCTCGTGCTTGTCACTGCGCTGGTGCCCTATTGCATGCTGGGTTAGCGCTTTGTGCAAACACCCCGTAGCACCGTTTCCAACAATGTTTTCCTTTTCAGGACAAACAGGGCGACTCATATAGTCATTTGATGACTTACTGACTGACTTTACCCTCCAAGACATCCCACAAGCGATAAAACACCCGATGACACAAAGTGCCACCATGCGGATGAGGATCACCCGTGGAGAGGTCCCAGAAACTGCGTTTAGCCATTAGGCCATATTTATGGCCTAGCTATATTGCGGCCCCTGGCAAGAGTCAGGGTGGGGCTAGGCATAACGAAAATTTACAGCTTAAAAAAAGACGGTGAATATAAATAATCATAGTAAAATAATGATTACTAAATAGGTATGAAGAGTTATATACCACGTGATTTCATATGCCAGTATGTAAAAATCTATTTGCAAATATCATGTTAAAGTTTTTGCTAAGACTGCATACTTTTTAAAATTTACATGTATTGATGACGTTTAATTATTATATACTTAATTATAAGTAAAAAATTTGAGTCTCTAGTTTTTGGAAAAATAATACTATTTTGATAATAAATATGACCTCTGAAGCCTAGATCCCTGGCACACTGGTCACTTCCTTTTTTCCACAGAACATCCGGCACGATGAAGGCGAAAGGCGAGGTTTGTATTATTTTTTTAAATATGTATATAACGCCATAGTGGACTTTATTCTTTTTGATCTGTGTTTTATCGTATATTATCAGATAAATGAAAGTTTTTGACTAGTTTCGGCGGTTTTTTTTCTTTCTGTGGGACTATAGGTGCTGTTTATATTTGAAAAATATGATAGGTAGGGCAACTGGGGACCATGTGTGCATTTTGCAAGGCACAGATTCGACACACCGGCGTGTACAGTACCTCTGTGCTACAGCAATGAATTTGCAAACAAATACAAGCGTTGTAGTAATTGATCACTTTTTATGTATTTAACGCATTCGTTCTTTAAACAGCGATGCGAAATGAACATGTTATGATAACTACTGCAAGGTTTCATAGATGGACGATCATGATCATGTCCTTTTAAGTTTTAGTGTTACTTGTCTCAAAAATCAATGTTCAATGTGGACGCGAACTCGATCTTGGTCAAGTTGGTCTGCCTTAAGCCCTACCCACTTTTTTTCTGATACGTGCCCTATGTAGTATTATATCTGTTTTTCACAATTTCGTTTTTTGTTTGTTTTAATAAGTCTAGGAATTAATTCACTGCATTGATTATCATGATAACTGACTTTCCTCTGAATAAAATTATTGAGGCCGGAAATATACCCTAATTGGGCCCCAGTCATGTGTAAATTGTGGACCTCTTTCCGGCGGCTATACTGCCACCACAGAGAGCAGTATTTCCTGCGGCACGGAGGTGGGCTAAACTAGATGGTGGAACTCACGAGCAAATAAAATGATGGAAGCTGCAGGAGATGCAGTAGCTGCTGCTTGTGCAGTGCAGGGGAACTCTTGGTGGTGACTTTGACTTGCGTAAGCTTTTCTGCTGTATGCTGTTTAGTCGCCTAAAAAGGGTCCCCAATTTATATATGACCGAGACCCTGTTTGGGAATATTTCTGGCCTCAATAATTTAGGACCTTTATTCAGGGGATAGCCAAGATAACGTAGAAAATAAAGTACTGTAATCAATTGTATTGCCTACTGTTAATGTTATGATTATGATCAGTTTAAAGTTATTGTTTATCAATACTTAATTCCATGATGTGTGGGTTCTAGGGCCCCATTGCCACATTGCTACTGTGGGGGGGGGGGGGGGAACCAATAATAAACCGACTGCCTCCCCAAATATGCAGGTCATAAGAGTTGACTAATTGGGGGGGGGGGGGGGGGGCCTTCGAAGTTAGGGTACATCTGTTTGAGAGGCAAGGAACAACCACAATCTGCATACATTTGTTAAAATGGATGCACACGCCATACTCAAGTACTGGAACCAGACTAAAGTCCAGGGGTGGACTAACAACCAGAACTTTCCGCCAGAGTTTACAGCTGGTCAAGGTGAAGGGGGTCAAAGCGGTGGTGGTAAAAAGAAACCTATAACCGGTGCATCTTGCGTTTACTGGGCCGGCTTCTAGTCGTAGAAACATGATTATGACGCATTTCTTGGGACTAAAACTAAAAGAGTTGAGTTAACTTAGTATATATATATATATATCTATATATATATATATATATTTTTTTTTTAACATTGTGTTGAAACAGGATATGAATACTTTTCCCCTCAGTTACAAGAGTACAAGGTGATTGGCAGAGGTCTGCCAACAGAAAAGAACAGGACCCCAGCCCTGTACCAGATGAGAATATTTGCACCTGACAAAGCTGTTGCCAAGAGCAGGTTTTGGTATTTCCTTAGCCAGCTGAGGAAATTGAAAAAGGCAACTGGTGAAATAGTCAGCTGTAGTCGGGTGAGTTTTCTCCAGTTACTGTGTTCTTCTAGCTATCATTTCAAAGTTTCTGCAGCATAATTGGCTCAGGGCTATTCAGTATATTAAAAAAGGTTTAAAATAGGAGAAATGTGATGTAGACACAATTTTTCAGACTTGTTAAATTGTGTTATTTGAAGAAATTGACCCAATAACACCAACATGCTAACAACTGGAATATTGGTGGGGAAATGAGCAAAAGGAAGGCAAACATGTGATAAATAGCTGGATGATGTATATCCATTATCCAAGATTTAACGTGGCATGTTTTAACCAAGGAAATGCTTATATTTATATATATATATATATATGTGCATGTGTGTGTCCATTTCCAGGCTAATGAATGTAAAATGACACAGAAAAGCCAAAAATAAGTTAAAGACTGTTCTGGATGGTGTGCATCCCTAAGGCATGGTGCCATCGGCCTGCCAGGCAGCAGAGATTCTACAGGCAGAGAAAGGGCGGCAGACTAGAAATCATTTCATTGTACTGCTAATCTCACACTTACTGCAGCTTACATCTGTTGTCCACACTGTTCAAGAACTTTCCAGGCTCATATTGGACTAATCAGCCACCTTTGGTCATAATTATTGATCATTGCTACTTTGGATGAAAGTGGTCTTTATCATTTTTTTATGGAAAAGTATCAGCTATAAAGGATATGCAGTTAACCTTTATTCCCGAATTGTATCAGTCACTGTCAGGTAAAAGTTAGCAAGGTGAAGTATATGTCCCTTCTCCATGCCTTTTAAACATATTGGGTATAAAGGCTGGACCTATATTTTATAAACTAAACGACACTCGGTGTGTGATGTGGTCAGCATCATGCCGACCACCTTTACTTCCCAGGACTGTACCTGGTACCCACTTAAGGCTGGGAGCCTAGGTCGTTTTTGGAGAAAAAAAATTTGGCCGTCTAGAACCGAACCCACAACCTGCTGAGTGTCTAGCCTCTAGACCGTGGTGGCTGCCAATCACAGTCAGGTATTTATTGTATTTTTCTTTCCTTTTTAAACAGGTTTATGATTCAAAGCCTCTGAAAATCAAGAACTTTGGAATATGGCTACGTTACAACTCCCGTAGTGGTACCCACAACATGTACAGAGAATACAGGGACCTGACCGCTGGCAAGGCTGTGACTCAGTGCTGTGAGTTTCTTATGTACAGAATTGGTTTAAATCAGGGCTGTTCAGCTAACAAGCATCTCATTACTTTAAATATAGAAAGACCACACATACAGCCAACAACCAGTGATTCATGGGGGAGGGGGGGGGGGGCAGATGTTTTTGCCCACGGATGTTTTTTTTAGATGTCGCATGCAATTTTAGATGTTACGATTTTAGAGATTTTTCCTTTGTTTTTAGTTCAGTAAATACTTATATATGTTTAACATATTTTTTGTGTCTTCGGGTGTAAATTATGGTAAATTTGACCAAACACATCCGATTTCAGTTAACCCCCTATTGCGTCACTTTTTACAAACAGTTGTAGTGAGATGGTCCATTTTTTTAACCAAAAATTAGGACTCTAAACCCCACGCTGAAATGATTGTTATCCGTTATTAGGCTAGGCTTATATCAACCGCTTATTATTTTAACCCCTCAAGTCCTAATTATATCACTCTGCTTCTTATCAATTGCTCTGAGCAAAGACGTTTGGGATAGAAGAACCTGTTATAATTTTATTGACTGGCATAGAGACCCATCACAGTTCTGGGGATGAGGAATAGTTAAGCTGTATTTGAAGCACAGGACTGAAGCAGTGTGGAAACATACCCAAGCTGTTTAAAACCTGGGCTATAGAATATATAATCCAATCAGTCGCCTTTGTTCTTATTACCTAATAGAAGAGTGAAGTGAATCTGCTTGGTACATTATATTCTTTCTTGGAGCAGAGGCTCCCAACCATCAGCTACAAGTATTTCAGTTTCTCTACTGTCTGGTGTAGTTCTATACCTCCATACATTTCCTCAAATACTATTTTTCAAATTGATGTAATATCATTGTGTTTTATCTGATTTTGTATTTCCTTCGTCTTGTAGTTTTTAGTTTCTACTTATGCTGTTATTCTCAGGCACCAGCATATATTTGTCACCAGATTTCAGTCAGTCACTTTTTAAATTGCTAACCCTGAGAAGGCTAAATCTAGTCACAGACAGTTGTGCCACGTCCCTGTACATGCAGATGTTTATCTCTACAGTATCTGTAATTCATTGGTCCTATATACGCCTGTGTTGTATTTGATGTGCCAGGATATGAATGCTAACTTTAAAAAAAAAAACTTCTATAATGGCTTTTTGAAAAGTTAGAAATCAGTCTGTATGTAAATTGCGGAAATCGGTCATTATACATATGTGGGTCTTGGAATATCTTGCAGTCCTTAAGAAAGAGAATGTGGGCTTTTGAGCTGAAATCTGTAGAAAAAGTCTCAGAATACTGCAGACAGGGAGAAATAGAAATACATCTTGGAAGATTGGCTAGTAAACAGCGTCTTCTCTTAGAGGCTGAAATATTTTGGCCATATTAAATGCCATAGTTAATTGGGAATAAAAATAGCAAAATACATGGTACTAGAAAGAAGGGGCAGGGTCGACATGCATGAAGATGGACACAGAATACTCCTTTGATAAAGGGTGCATGAGGTGGGAGAGCTGGTGAGTTTCTTCTAGGCAGAATGTGTGGATATCGACATTTTTGCAAAGGATCTGCTACATGTTTTCACATAATTCTACTTGTTCTGTTGAGACATTTACTAAGAGATGGCAACTACCTTGGATATGAATGGTGATGTAATATGATTATATAGACATTCATGTCACAGATTTGGTGATGATTGCCGTTTAAGCAACATATCAAGCACAGGACTGAAGCAGTGTGGTAACATGGCCTCGCTGTTTAAAACTTGTGCTATAGAATGTATAATCCAATCAGTCGCCTTTATTCTCATAGCCTCATTGGAGATTGAAGTGAATCTGCTTGGTACATTACTTTTTAATGTCTAATGGAGCAGAGACCCTCATCCAGCAGCCTGGTATGCCTAAGAGTGAGGGAAGGGGTCTTTAGGCTTATGCAGCTCAGAAGCCATGGAATCATAGTAGCTAATATTTGTTTTAGGGGTCTGTGTTTGAAACCCCATTAAGGTGATTTCCCCAAGTTGATTCAGCCTCAAATAGGTGTGAGAAATGTTTTGGAAAATGACAACTAGCATGATATTGACATCAGTTCATCTGTTAAAATATTTTTTTTTGCTAGCACCATTTGCCAAACATGTGGAAATTTTTTTCTTCACATTGCTAACTCAGTCCTAGTCTATGCTGACATGTACATCTGCTGCTTTATATCATATTGTTAGTTAACCAGTGAGTGCTGACATTCATCTGGAGCGTGAAGGATTTATTTACTGTGTTTATGTTGACAAGTTTAAGTGATCTAGTGAAAACTAAAAGATAAGCACAGGACTGAAGCAGTTTGGAAACATGGCCTCGCTGTTTAAAACTTGTGCTATAGAATCTATAATCCAATCAGTCGCCTTCATTCTCATAGCCTCATTGGAGACCGAAGTGAATCTGCTTGGTACATTTTTCTTCTACTCCCAGTAAAGCAGTGGCTACATATATCCAGTCTTCCTATATCTTGTTTTTTTTTCCGCCCTGGTCTTACCTGACTAGAGTTATTAATCAACTGAATGTGATGCCTGTTAGCCCTTCCCATATACAATTTTTTTCCAGTGTATGCTAAGCATTAAAAAGCTTCACAGCTATTTCAGATAATCATCATCATCAGGTGCCTTGCCGACTGGCGTGTGCGATCATGCCTCTCCATAATCGACAATCTCTTGCAGCATGAATCAGTTCATGTGCCGACACACCTCTATGTCATGCAACAAGACTGTCAAGAATCTTCTCTCATTCATTGTCTTCCTCAATCCCTCCTTCCACAGATCTTTCCAGTGGTCACAACATGTAAACATATACTATTTTGAATTTTTTTTTTAACCACACTGTGTAGAGAACAAACTTCATTTGTGTAATCTTGTTTTACATGGTCATTATATGGCTGTGCCGAAAACAAATCTGAAAAATCTGTTGACACCAACAGAAGCAAATTTTTTTTCCTGAAAAAATCCTGGATGTGAGATTTTCCTAACTGAAATAACTTCTGGAAATTGGGTGGCTGCTAGCCATTTTGCACCAAGAGCTAGTCTGTTACAGTGTGACTGCGTTGTCAAACTAAAAAATGCCACAAAAACAATTTTTTCCAAAATGCAAATCGCAGAAATCCCCCCCCCCCCCCCCCCCCCCCCCCCGTAAACATCTGGGATTGCATTGTGAAAATTTTGTATAAAACTCTAAGCCACAGATACGTAATATACACAGTCGGTACCAACAAAGGCGTCTTAGGCGCTAACAGTACACATCTGAAGGGCTTACACGAAAGAGTCTACACATACTAATGAAACATAACACACCTGCCACGCCAGTGCTTTAACGTAATTTAAAATTTCTTATTTTTTGTCTAATGCTTTGTCAGATCATAATTTTTTTTTAACATTTTTCAATTTTGGTAATAGGCAATATGACAAATATTGTCAGGTTTTACCTTAAGTAAGTGACCATCTCTGTACATCTTTAGTGCAGCAGTTTGATAATTGTGCTTGTCCTACTGTTTCTTATTTTTTTTAGTTCCATGTAGAAAGTTAATTCAATTTTATTTTTGTTACTCCCCTTCCTATATTTTCAGAGGAATTGTTTGTTTGTAATTAAATATTTAAAACATGTTCTTTCAATAATTCTAGAGATCCTTGTATTTTTATTTATTCAAAGGGTTAAAAACCTAGGGTGCCCTTACAGGGATAGGTCATCACGCTGTTCTGAGTTTTACAGCTGAGCTGTGATGTTGCCACTCTTGACCCAATATATCCGGGTTAAGCAAGTCTTTAGTCACATTTGTAAGTGCTTTTTGAGTAGCAGTCGGTCAGTTCGTGTCTCCCCCCCTCCCCAAGGTCCTGGAGCCACCAGTAAGATTTAAAATCACTTTTTATGCAGGCTGATGTGTAATTTTTACATGCATGTTTCTTCCTAGACCGTGACATGGGAGCACGTCACAGAGCCCGGGCTCACTCTATCCACATTATCCGTGTCGAAGAGATTGCTGCCAGCAAGTGCCGGAGACCCAACACATTGCAGTTTCATGTGAGTACATTGTCATTGATGTGAGCTTTTGGGTTTCATACCTAACTATTATTTATGGATCGGCCAGGCTTTATACAGTGAGTGGCAAGCTTTAGGATGTGGGTTGGCGTGGCAGTAATAATACCACTACAGGTCTTGGGTTTTTTGTGTGTGTGTCTGTGCTAGTACTATCTGAGATATATTGCTCGTCCTGCCCAGACATCCATGTATTTGCGCTTATAGAGATTTATATAAATAAGTTTAGCAGTTTTCACAGGTTCAAATAGATGAATGAAATATATACCTAATTAACTGTATGTTTCTTACAGTAAATTCTTGGACATAGGTATCTAATAGTTCAAGATCAGGCAATACAACTTGTGAGCATTTAACTAAAACTTGAATATTTTATTTTATTTCTAGGGGAATTTTAAAAAATGGTCATACTTTGCTGTCGCATAGTGCACAGGGTTCGTAGTGGATCGGGAAATTACCGGGATTTTTTTCGTTGACCTTGAACCGTGATTTTTTTAGCTTATAAAAGACATTCCGACCTTGAAAAGCCGTGAATTTTGACCGCGGCAATGAAATCGTCAGAAATCCTGTGTTTTTCAGCACAGGTAATTTTGGGGGAGCCATTTGGCCTTTTTGGCGATTTGGCTAGTTTTTGGCTACTTTCGTTGTATGGTCGTTTCAGGTGTGAGGGCAGCTGATTATTGCCTATTATTAGGAACCGGAAAAGTGGCCTCACTTAGAGATTTCCTAATTCTATTTTTGGCACTCAGTGTTCTTACACACACACTCCCCCCCCCCCCCCACAACCGTGTCTTACCTTTCTTCTCTCACCCCTTCTCTTTCCTTTGATCTTCTACTATTCTCCTTTCTCTCTCCATTCTTCCTCTCTTCCTTTCCTTGCCCTTTCTCCTGTCCCATCTCTTCTTTGTCTCCTCTCCATCCTGTCTTTTCATTTTCTCTAGATTTGCTTACCCGCTCCCCTCTCTCATTCTCTCTCCCCCCCCCCCCCCCCCCATTTGTTTACTGGTTCATCTACATATTTTTTTTGCCCCATAACTATCTTTTCCTAGTGGTTGTGCCCACTACACTTAAAATTGTGTGTGGGGGGGGGGGGGAAGAGTAGGTGGCTGGTTTTTTTTCTTTGATGTATCTTGTGTCCCTTCCTGCCCCTCTCTCTTAATCTGTGTTTGTCACTGCCTTCCTTACCCACCTCTCTCTCTCTCTTGCTTTATATCTGTTTGCCTCCCTTCATCACTTCCTCTTTGTATACCTCCCTCCCATTCTCCTGCTCTGCCTTTTTTCTCTTTCTTTGGTTCTCTCCCTCTGTCTGCTTGCCTCTCTGTGCTGTCCCTTTGTCTCTCTCCTTTATGTCTACATCTCTCTCTGCTTGCATCTGCTTCTCACCCTGTCCGTTCTCTCTCCCTCTGTCTCCCTTCTTTCAACTCTTTGTCATATTTTCCTCCTTCCATATCTCTGTTTCGTTCCCTTTTTCCTTCTCTTTTCATCTGCCCATCTCTGTATCTGCATTCCATCTTTCTATATTTGTCTCCCTCTCTGTCTTTCGCTGTCCCTTCCCCACTTTTCCTCATCATGTCTCCATCCCTCCCTCTCATTTTTTCCTCCTTCCCCAGACTTCTTTTCCTTCTTTTCTCTACCTTCATCTGTCGATCTTTACACTGTCTCTCCCAGCCTACCTCAGCATGTGTCTTCCTCTCTCTTCATGACTCTCTCTCTCTCTCCCCTAACCCTCTCAGGTACCAGGTCCAGAACAGACAGGACTTCAGTTTACTGCCCTCTACCACCAAGCCCTAAAAAAAAATTTCAAACACTATGTCAAGCTCAGGGGCCGACCAACACGAAGATGGGCACAGGATATAAGTGACTCCTTGAGTATAAAAAAGATGAGGCGGGAGAGCTGGTGAGAGACCGAGGTTTTTTTGTCAGGACAAAGGAAATGCTACATGATGATGATATCTGTGCTGGTATACCAACACATGTGGCACAAATGAAGTACCTTGTGTGCTCAGTACACCCTTGAACAAGGCAAAAATCTTGTTTCAGTATTACACCGAGACAACCTTGAAAAAAACTAAGGAGACCTTGAAAAAGACCTTGAAATTGATTGGTAAATTTGGCTATGAACCCTGAGTGCAGTATTAGGTAGTGGCCTGTGGATTGTTATCAGTTATTGAGCTTTCGACCCTGAAGCTCACGCCTCTGGTCTGCGGCGATCCCTATTTTCAAAATTTTAGCCGCTGCAGAAACCTACTTTAATAGCTTTTGTGCTCACTGTAGGTTAAGTATTATAAAACTCTTGCCTAATTGCAATGGCCCAGTATACATTTTTTTATTTCAACATAATCTGTTATTGTATTTGTTATGACATTGCTGACATTGTAATCTATTTTATTTCAAGGATGCAAAAATCAAGTTTCCACTGACCCACAGAGTTCACAGAAAACTCCATGCTCCAAGGTTTGCTGCCAGTAGACCACACACAACTTTCTAAAGTGTTTGTGAAATAAACTTTGCAACATAACACAATCTGTATATGATGTGTGGCTTTTGTGTGTGTGTGTGTATGGATTGCAGCAGGCTGTGTCTGTATTCATGAATGTAGTTGTAGTGTTTTTATTAAATACACGCTTGTAAAGCTCATTATTTCCTGGACAGTTTAGATACGACAAGGTTTGCATTTATGAATGACCTGTCCACTGCACCTGTAACAGTCATGCTGTATAAGTCAACTAAATGTGAGGGGGGTGTCCTTTAAGATCGGGGCATCTGCCTGAGAGGTGAGGTACAAACTATCTGCATACAAATAAGGCAGATCTGCAAAACTGATGTGCCTGCTAAACTAGTTCTTGAACCAGATTAAAGTCCAGAAGATGGTGAACAGCCAGAACTTTCTGCCTGTCAATGTTATGAAGGGCAGTTCTCATTGATCCAGTTATCTAATCCGCTGGTTCATATTTTAACACTTCAACACCTTCAGACCTTGAACATGCGAGTTGATTTAAATCCTACTTGAATGATATTCCAGATAGGCGATATTGTAGACCTTGCGAGTTTTCACAAATTTTGAAAGGAACAAGAATATGTCTGTCTGGTCAATGAGTCGTCCTCTTAACTAGCTGTCTGACCGTCTGTTAGTTAGTTAGTTGGGTTATCCTCATTGCACTCCGGACATGTCCATAGGTGCTCAGATCCTCCCCTCAGTATGAACCCCAACGTCCGATGGCTAATAGTACCAGTTCTATGTTGATTAACAAGTCGTGTGCGTCTCGTGCCGATCTTAATTCCCAGGTCTGCCATTCTGGCGAGTGATGTGTATTTGTCTGACCGTCTGTTTCCCAGGGTAATCTGCATAGTTGCATCTAAAGTGACTACAGTTGTGTCTTGTCAACTATTCTTCACAGAGGTTATTGTGTCCCTCTAATTAATAATTATCCATTTAAGAGCATCAGTTTGCCAATTCTTCTTTATTGAGCATGACCAAAAAGGATGCACACAAGCTGTCCACCTTCCACCACACATGTCTACATAGACTTATCAACATTTTCTGGCCAGATACAATCTCAAACACGAAACTACTTCAAGTCACAAACCAAGAAACTCTAGACAGTATGATAACCAAGAGAAGATGGAAATGGCTTGGCCACGTTATGAGAATGAATCCTGATATATCCGCCAAAACAGCTCTCACGTGGATACCAGAGGTAAAGAGAAAAAAAGGGCGCCCAAAAACAACATGGAGACGAACGATGGCAAGTGACCTGAATGTGGCATCTTCGACATGGAAAACTGCACTGAAGATTGCACAGGACTGGAAAGTCCTCTCTGAAGCCTCATGTGCCACTAGGCATAACGAGAACTGATGATGATTTAACTTGCTGTGAACCACTTACAAAGACCAGTGATTACATTGCAAGGTACATTATGTGACTTATAACAGACATCGACTGGGAAGAAGAAAGACAGAGGCTGGCATCGGTGGTGCCGAGTGAAGCAATCTTAATTTTTTTTTTTAGACTTCGATTGTGGGGGAAAAATCGACTGGGAGACAAGATGAGAAGTCCGACATGGACAGATGGTGCTGCAGGCTAGTGGCTCACACCCGCTCCCCCCGGACCGGGTGTTTCACTGTGAGCCTTATGGCGTTTCACATTGCCATACCTGACCTATATAGATTAATATATATATATAGAGTTATATATATATATATATATATATATATATATATATATATATATATATATATATATATATATATATATATATATAATATATATATATATATATATATATATATATATATATATATATATATATATATATATATATATATATATATATATATATATATATATATATACATACCACTGACATCCTAAAATAGCCCCTATTATCTTGACTTGAGATATCTTCTTGACTTACCGACAACAGTGGTGCCTTCTGTGCAACAACTAGCAGCATGTTGATGGCGGTAACATGAGCTTTTATGTGACCAGCATCTCAGGACTATTCTGTGTGTTTGCTGAGTGATTCCATAAGCATGGTCCAGCGAGCTTTGTACACAGACAGTGGATCGAGTCATTGCAAAACTCCAATTCGCGTGGAGTTACCTTCATCTTTGTCCCAGGGCATGCGGTGTTGTTGGCAATGAATGAATCCTTGAATCATGCAGACATTGCCAGTGCCATTAGAGAGGTATAATTTATTATATTCATAATATTTAACGGCCTCAAAAGTTCCCCTTCTGTTTATTTATAGGAATGACGCATACACACCGGAACCTACCAATCAAATACCTTTCTTAACTGTTTGTGTGTATTGTAGACAAAGCATTAAGGTGTACTGTGTTCGTAAATTGTTGCTGTGATTGTTATTCGACATATGCTTTGTTAATATAAACTTATGTAAACTATGGTGTTATTTCAATGGTTTGAAATGAATTCTGTCCGTATTCCATAGTCAAGGTTTTCAAGCTGTTCGATAGACATGGCCAATAAGACACCTTTAGTGGGGGGGGGGGGGTGCCTAGTTGACCATGTTCATAGTGCACCTGTATCCATGGCAAGGCGCAGACGCCGTTTGTAGGTGACAGGTTCAATTCCTGGCACGGCAACCATAGCCTCGATTTTTATGTTGTCTAGTGTGTTCTATCTTTCTACTTCTTTCTATGAGTTCCGATCAATACTCGTTCTGCTACTCGATTAATTCGTTAGAGACGTGGGGCGATCGAGGGATTTTTGGGAGCAGTGCAAGAGTGCTAGCTTTGGCAGTAAAGATCGGCACGAGAAGCACACCGGACGCACGAGAAGTCGTTCTGAACAACATAGGACTAAAACTATCGGCACTCTTCCGAATACCGGCCCCATATTATTCAAAGACAAATTCAGGTTCTGAAGCAGGACTGCAGTTCAGTAGTGGACGAGCAACCAGAAACTTCCGCCAGAGTTTACAGCTGGTGAACGCGAAGAAGAAGAAGAAAACCTTCCTCAACATGAGACATATTCATGTCGAGAAGAGAACCAGTCAAAACCTCGTGTTGTGTGTTTAATGCACGTTGTTCTGCTTCCCTATTTCGTTCAGCTTGTTAGTCACAGCACGGCCTTCTCTGTTAATCAGAAGGACCTGGTCACAGTTCACTGGATTACTTTCTTGATATTATCTTCACTGCACTTATAATTTCCACAGACATTCAATGTTCCTGGAAAATGACGTCACCGACCTCCATTATGACCTCTGACTCTGAAAGGGCAGGGCTGCCAATGCTTGGGTTTTCCCCCCAGATCTGGGTTTTTATTTGACGCCTCAGGGAAATCTGGGTTTTTAAAAAAATATATCCTTATATAAAAGTGGTAAATTTTCCGTTTCGTAACTATAAATTTTGTACATTTTTAACAATCTGGGTTTTTTATTTTGTTTTCTTGTTCTTTGTCTATGTATTGCTTGGGTTTTTGTTAAAAAAAGCTGGGTTTTTCAAAAAATCCCATTGGCAGCCCTGTGAAAGGGTTCATATCCGGTCATTTTTCAGAAGCGCCAGGACTAAAGAGCAGGTACACATCTGTTATTTAACATCTTTAGAACGTCACAAACTAATCCCGTTACATTATTTATTGGCTGTTGTGTGTTCTCACTAGACAGTTTAAGGTTTTATAGTTTGTCCTTGCTTTTTTTTTTTAAACGACACTACATTCACCCCTTGTCAGAGATTCAATGCAAAGCGGTGTGATATATCATACTCCAGTTTTTAGGTGTTGGTTATTAAATTGCGGTAGAAATATTATTATTATTAATTCAGAAAGTTGGGAGTTTGTTCTTCTTCACACATTCCTAACTTTGTATTGTATGTCTCTAATTTGAAATGTGATGTAATAACGTGGGATTAGTAATTACTTATGTATTGATTCTGTCCTGTTAAATCGCTACCAATCGGTATACCGTATACGCAGATGACTCATCATTATCACAGTAACTATATATATATATATATATATATATATATATATATATATATATATATATATATATATATATATAAACACAGCAACTTGGGAGGCTGCTGCACAAAACAGTTCTGGATGGCGTACATCCTCCAGGCATGGTGCATCAGCCTGCCAGGCAGCAGAGAAATGGAGGTAGACTAGAAAGAATCGTACTAATCCTACACTTACTGCAGCTTCCACCTGTTGTCCGCACTGATAAAGAACTTATATATATATATATACATATGTTGTTCGTCCATCATGAGTGATGAAGATCACTTTTCATCCATATATATATATATATATATATATATATATATATATATATATATATATATATATATATATATTATAGTTACTATTGTAATGGTGAGTCATAAATAAAGTGGATCATCAACAAGGACTAAAAAACTGCAGGGGGTCACCGTGGTGAAGTGGTCAAGCCATTTGCCTCACGCTCTGAGGGTCAGGGTTCATTTCATGGCTGGGTTGTTGTTTCATTTTTATGGAGATCCCTGGGGATCATTGCCGGAGCTACAGAGTTTCTGCTCTGTGCGATGCTCTTGGCAGGCGGCTTACCGTTCAAAGAAGAGAGACTGAACCAAATGGATAAAACCCGGTGCATTGAAGTCAATCCTCTCGACTTTTTAAACTTTTTTCTCTTTTTTTTTTAGTGAATGATAAAACAGTACTTCTCAAGAACAGGGGTTAGCATGTGAAAGGTTGTAATATATATATGCACAATAATGTTATCTCAGATCACTTTAAACATTCCCAAAGATAGATTACACAGCATAATTATTATAATTGTTTGAAAGGTACACATAAACTCAACAATCTTTACTCCTACAATTTTATAAAAGTAATACATAAGCTATACAATATTAAATTAACAAAAATAATTGATGTATAAATAACCATCATTAAATTAGAATACACACACACAAGTTATAACCTGGATGGGTTGAATAGGATATTGTTGTTTAATATACTTCTACTAAGTGAATCACTTGAGACATCCTTACTTACCCACCAACACAGGGCAGTTTGAATAGTAGCTTTCAGAGTCACCTGATTTAGTTCTTTCAGACTGCAGTTCTTTATTAATGTTTTTTAATTTTTTTACATTCTTGGGTTTCAGAGATTTAATAGGGAATTCCTGGTAGTCAAATATTATTTGGTGGTGGGGGTTTTAGTGATAGTCTACGTTAATTTCGCACCATAACACCCCTATACTATTGGACTTCCTCAGGCATTCCCTACAAAATCTCAGAGTCCCAGATATGGGGGGAAGTAAAAGAAGAATCCAGGTTGCAATCCTGGAGGGGCAAATAAAAAAAATAAGGAAGACAACAAATAGTGCATAAAGTAATGATAACGATAAAGATTTCTTGCTCAGATAGGACAAGAGTTACATAAGGGAATGCGCTCCAGAACCTGGGATCCTCATGTCTCTTAAACACCCCTCCCCCAAATATTTAGTATAGGAAAGGGGGGAGGGGTCTGAGCAATACCAATAATTTCTTAATGGGCTAAGAGGCCCCATAAAACCATTTATAGAAATTCTCTTTAATAGTATTTTTTCGTGTGCATTTCATATTATTTCAAGTATAGTATTTTATTTATTTGCCATTCATCATATACTGATGATCATTAATACTAATAATGTGTTGAATGACAAATACCTGAAATAATAAACACGGTGGCCACAGTCTTAGAGATAGGATAGACATCTTCCACTGAAGTCGGAGTGCATCTGCCCGAGAGGCAGGCAACAAAAACTGCACACGCCCAAAAGTCAGTAAAGTGGATGTACATACAAAACTCATGTCCTGGTAAAGTCCATTTGGACGAACAATCATGGCTTTCCGCCGGTAAACACTAAGAAAAAGAAGAAGATATACATGGGACGAACATAGGCACTAGAACATGGGAGCTAAAGGACCTTGACGCCCTATCAATGCAGATTTGAATGCAAGACCTTTGGTCTGCTAGCAAGTGTCTAGTCACTGTTCTACTGCTGCTTTAGTCCAGTTAATTAATTATAACAAGAATGCCCTGGTACTGTCTGCCACAGCGAGCCACACTAAAATGTTTCAGCGGGTAGAGAGCGAGTGGAAGACCTCGGAAAATGGAGTGATGGCATTAAGAACAGGCCCCCCCCCCCCCCCCGTGTGTGTGTTCCGGGGCCCTATTGTAGGGAAAACAAGAATAGACCCACTGCCTCCCCAAAAGCATGTCGTAAGAGTCGACTAACTGGGGAGCTTCCTTTGAAGTCGGAGTGCATCTGCCTGAGAGGCAAGGAACCAGCAGTCTGCATTCAATTGAATCAGATCTGTAAAACTGATGCACACGCAACACTCAGGTTCTGGAGCAGGACTGTAGTCCAGAAGTGGACGAACAACCAGAACTTTACGTTAGAGTGTACAGCTGGTGAACGCGAAGAAGAAGAAGAACAGCCTTACAGAAATGAACATCAGTCTTAATAGTGCTCTTGACAGAGCTCATCAACGAACATTACATCTTCCCCCAACACTTCGATGAGGTAAAAGGTGGAAGAGAAGAAGAAGAAGAATTATTTCAGTTAATTATTTTTCTTCCCCAGATGATCATGCCTAAAACTCGGGGAAAGCTGAAACCTGGTGATGAAAACTCACTGAGAGCAAATTACTCTTATTTGGCTGGAGAAATTGATGCCCAGTATCTGGTTGCTGAATTGTTTTCTCAATTTGTAATTGACGCAAATGATAAAGAAAAGATTCAGAGTAAAGCAACTGCGAGGGAGAGAACTTTGGTGTTGTTGGATGTTCTGCTAGATTCAGGTCCTGGAGAGGCCTACAACAAATTTGTGGAAGTTCTTACGAAAGAGTACCCAGATGCTGCTGAAAAACTAAAAGAAGAAGCACCATTTGAAGAAACTCTGCAACCACAATGTAAGATTTCAATGCTTTTAGCTGCACTTTTAGATAGGGTAACATTATGTTTATATTGTTTTTATCTTCTTCTTCTTCTTTCTCTTCTTCTTTTTTTCTTCTTCTTCTTCCTCTTCTTCTTCTTCTTTGTGTTTGCTAGCTTTAAACTCCTGCAGAAAGTTCTTGTTATTCATCTACTTCTACTATCGGTGGAACTGATCCAGAAGACAGGGGACCAAGATCTGTGGAGATGCACGAACGCCTATGCAGGGCACACGATGATGATGATAATAGGGATGCATAGGTGCTGAGCTATATATAGTGTTGCACCCCGACCAACGCTCAGATTGGTCAAGATTTATCTACACCTCTTCATGGTATCATTGTTCACAATACTGGATAAGCTTGGATAACACATTGATGTTGATAATTCTTGGCAACATTTTGGGATCTTGTTAATTAACTCTTTGAGTCCCAAGGAACACATCATATGTTCATTGGTCACTGCCTAGAAGCCCAATGAACGCATGATGCACCGATTTTAGTCTCTTTTGACAACCCCTTGGGCCTGTGATGCTAAACCCTCTGGGACTCAAAGAGTTAATTCCTAAATTTGTTTTCAGACTCTTAGATGAGTTTAGACACCATTTTATGATCTGTTATCACACTCATACCTTATTTTAATGTTCAAAAGAGTAGGAATATCTGTTAAGTTTTTTGGCATTGCTAATTATCTGTAGTTACTGACATTAGATGAGTCTGATGAACATTTTTTGATCAGGTATTTCTTCTGTCTTGTCTTACATTTCGTATTCTTAGATAATTTAAAGTAAGTTTAGTGATCTGTTAATTATTATTCATTTATGTTTAATTTCATACCCCCTTTCATGTGATTAGTTTATTCTGCTAGTAATTATAATATCTATATCCAGGTTTTTCTTAATATGATGGAAGGCATGGGTACACAATACCAGCACTTTTTTTAGGCATTGAATAATAGAAATTAATAGAAATGTTGTGGGTGCAGACAACCGCCTTTTATTAGACATTCTGTGGTGGGGGGGGGGGGGGGAGTTCGCTGTGGCCGAGCGGCTAGACGCTCACCACGGATCGGAAGGTCGTGGGTTCGCTCCCTGGCGGAGTCGGACTATTTTAAAAAATGACCTTGGCTCCCAGGTCGACCGAGCCTTGAGTGGGTACCGGGTGCAGTCCCGGGAAGTAAAGGCAGCCGGCGAGATGCTGACCGTATCACCCATCTTATGCCGATTGGTCTATAAAAATATAGGTCTAGCCCTATGTGCCCTATACACCTAAAGGCGTGGAAAAGGGTCCTTTACTTTTTTTACTTTACTGTGGTGAGGGCCAGCACTTTTTTTTTTCAAAGAAGGAAAGCTCTGATTATTCTTATCTTGGGAGTCATTGTGGCATAGTAGACAGATTCCTGTCTGCAGGCCTAAAGGTCTTGGCTTCGAATCTGCTTACATTGCAGCCTGAAAAGGGTACTAGGTAAGTCCTGGGAAGTAAAGGCAGACATCATAATATTGACCATATCACCCATTGAATACCAAACTCTTTATATCTAGCACCATATGCCCAGTACACCGTTGGCATGAAAAGGGTCTTTTATTTTTAGTTCCGGGGCCCCATTATGGGGAAAACAAGAATAGACTCACTGCCTCCCCAACAGGCAGGTCGTAGGAGCCAGTTTGTGGGAGCTTCCTTCTAAGTTGGAGTGCATCTGCCCGAATGGCATTGAACAACCAGCTGCACACAAATAAGCCAGTAAAACGGACGTGTATGCAAAACTCAGGCCCTGGCACAGAGCCAAAGTCCAGATGGACAAACAACCAGGACATTCTACTGGAGCTTATAGCTGGTGAACAAAGAAGAAGGAGAATCCAGCCTAAAATAGATACCAGGTAAGTCCTGGGAGATAAAGGCAGCTGTCCTGATATCGACCATGTCACCCATTGACTGCCAAACAGTCTTTGAAACAATGTCTATCATATACGCCTAGTACACCGCTGGCATGAAAAAAGTCCTTTATTTTAACATTTTTCTGGTTACTAAATGGTTTTCTGGTTACTTTTTTTGTTTAATTTCAGATTCCTGGTATGAGGAATTACCTGCTGAAATTAAGAACTGCGTGATAACAGAAGCTGATGCAAGCAGGATATCAAACGCCATTGGTGGAGGCTGGCGACATGTGATGGCACTGCTGGGCATAAGAGATGTTGAGATACAACAGGAGTTGTTTAACCACCCACATGCTGGTCCTGCGGATTTTATAACTACATTCTTGATTAAATGGAGGCAGCGTCAGTTTAGACAGGCCACTGTTGATAAATTAGTGTCTGTGCTGAAAGAAGTGGATGAGGCTGGGACTTGTACTGTTGATTGGGGAAAAGTTGAAAAGGCTTTAAAGAAAAATTTACCTCAAGTTTAATTCTTTCAGTAGTACTATGTCAATATTTTTGTTGTTACTAGTGTGAGTGAGTGAGGTGATGCTGTTAATGCCATGCGGGTCTCCTTGACGAAGTGGTCAAGCCGTTTGCCTCGCGCTCTGAAGTTGTGGGTTCATTTCTTGATGGCGCTGTTCAGTTCACAAGTGCAGTTTTTTTCCCTGGGGCCTGAGCTACGAAGAGTGTGCTGGCCGGAGCTATGAAGGGTGTGCTGGCCGGAGCTACGAAGGGTGTGCTGGCTGGAGCTATGAAGGGTGTACTCTGTGTGACATCGTTGGCGGGCAGCTAGCTGTTCTGCTGAGAGAGACTGAGCCATGTGGGATGAAACTCAGTGCGGTGAAGTCGATACTTTCACCTTTGCCTGTACCTAATGCCAGAATTATCAGTTTTAGCCACCAGTTCAATTAAAGTCAGTGGTGAGATTAACAAGAAAGACGGCAGCCAGTATAAACATGGTATTCATAGCTGATCGATCTAGTTTATGTAATAGTGATGACAGGGAGTGGTTAGTAGATTTATGACACTGCCTTCTCATGCAGTATTAGTTAGCTGCTTGTCCTGTACAGCAGGGCTATTCAACTGCTGGCCCACGAATCATTGCCAGCTGTATTGTATTAGTGATCCATTTGTAAACGACTCACAGAGCAAGCTGAGAAAGGTGAAGACAGGCATACTCCGTGCAGAGTGGCAAGCATCACTTCAGAGGTCCCGGGTAGTTAGCATCCTTTGGATATTTTCTTCAGGTCATGCTGGTATGTTGGAAAATGAGCAGGCAGATAGACTGGCTAGCTCTGCACCACTTAGTGATGAACTGATGTATGACAAGCTGGATGTTGTAAGGGCCCTTTGGGAGCAATTACACAGTTACTGGTACCATTGAAATTTTAACTCCTATTTTGCTGCTGAAGATGGATACGGAACGCTTATTAGGGGTGTCCAGAGTGCTGTGATGTCGATTCCTTATTCAATATTGAACGGTCTGTGCTGGAACTAAGACCACTGGCCTGCACCGATCCCCATTTTAAACAGTTTGGCCCCTGAGTAAACTAAGTTGAATAGCCTGCAGAATAGGACATTGCACAGCCAATCCCATAAATTTTTGGGCAGTTTGTGGTTTTACTAGGCAGTTTTATATTCAGTAGTTTGCCATTGCATTCTGAGCAGTCAGGAACCCATACCATATTTGAAATCAACACAAAGTGGCCTGCTGCCAAATGGCATTATTGATCACCCCTACAACATGTAAATAAAAACATCACACAGTTGTGTGTGCAACAAGATAAACATAAAACACGCACCCATGTTTGTTTAATTAAATTAATATAACACACGTGTGTGTGTATGTAACTAATTGAACATAACACACAGAATGTATGTATGTGTAATTAAATGAACTTAACACGCAAATTTATGTATGTGTAATTAAAGGAATGTAACATGCAAATTTATGTATGTGTAATTATATGAACGTAACCCGCAAATTTATGTATGTATAATTAAATGAATGTAACACGCAAATTATGTATGTGTAATTAAATTAACGTAACACGCAAACTTATGTATGTGTGATTAAATGAGCATAACACACAAAATGTATGTATGTGCAATTAAATGAACATAACACACAAAATGTTTGTATGTGCAATTAAACGAACATAACACACAAAATGTATGTATGTGCAATTAAATGAACATAACACACAAAATGTATGTATGTGCAATTAAATGAACATAACACACAAAATGTTTGTATGTGCAATTAAATGAACATAACACACAAAATGTATGTATGTGCAATTAAATGAACATAACACACAAAATGTTTGTATGTGCAATTAAATGAACATAACACACAAAATGTATGTATGTGCAATTAAATGAACATAACACACAAAATGTATGTATGTGCAATTAAATGAACATAACACACAAAATGTTTGTATGTGCAATTAAATGAACATAACACACAAAATGTATGTATGTGCAATTAAATGAACATAACACACAAAAAATGTATGTATGTGCAATTAAATGAACATAACACACAAAATGTTTGTATGTGCAATTAAATGAACATAACACACAAAATGTATGTATGTGCAATTAAATGAACATAACACACAAAATGTATGTATGTGCATTTAAATGAATGATGACTGCAGGCATCACTTCATAGGTCCCAGGTAGTTAACATCCTCTGGATATTTCTCCAGTTGGGTTGGGAAATGAACAGGCAGATAGACTGGCTGGCTCTGTACCACTTGGTGGGGAATTGATGTATGACAAATTAGATATTGTGAGGGCCCTTTGGGAATGAGTGAACAGTGTGGTGGCGCAGATAGATCATTACGGAATGGGGCCAATGGCACTATGAGGAGTCACAACACTCAGGGGAAGGATGAGACGGATATACAGTCAGATGGTTTTACTGGAGCCATCAGAATTGGAACTCTTCTCTTGCTGCTGATAATGGGGACTGAGCACTTATGTGAGTGTCCCGAATGCTGTGATGTTGATTCTTAATTCAACATTCATACCTCCAGTGATGATTCTGAGACTAGTGTTCTGTATTTTGTCCAGTTTGATTTGCAAAACAGCATGACTACCCTGTAACATTTTTTAGCGTGTGGGAAATGTCACCAAGTATGAATAACAGGCCAACCAGGGTTTATGGCGAAAAACGTTACTAGAACCACATAATGCATTACATCTGCATCTGCGCAAACATTCAGTGTGACTGAAGATGACTACAGTTTTTAATGTGGAAGGGAAGCTTTTAAAAAAGGACCTTATTTATAGAAATTTCTCTGTCATATTTTTCCTTTTGGGAACAATATGTTTATCAGACGAGTGGATTACAGGGTCATTGTAAGTGTCACGCTATAATTAGTTTACAGGCGCCAATAGATGTAAGCCAGTTAATTCTATGCTGGGTTCATTGTTGTTAATTAATCGCTTTGACCTATAGTGTTTATTGATGTTCTGGATGATAAATTGATTTTGTGTGATTTTTTTTTTTTTTTTTTTTTTTTTTTTTTTTTTTTTTTTTTTTGTTGAAATTTGTAAAATGATTGTTTTTCTAGGGATTTTAATTTTTAAGGAATTTCCTAAAAATGGAAACTACCGTAGCTTGGCACTATCTTTATTAGATGTGACAATTTTAATGAGTTTACCCGGCTCCATTATTATTACAAAAATATGAAAAATCATAAAATTGAAACAAGTTGTCCTCTGTTGTTTCATCGTGTCTGTAGCTCAGTACATGCAGTTTTGAAAAGCATTATTTTTCTTTTTTAGATTTTTCTAGCTCCTATCAGACAGAGGGGACCCTACCAGTATCAGTACTACCATCAGACAGAGGAGACCCTACCAGTATCAGTACTACCATCAGACAGAGGAGACCCTACCAGTATCAGTAGTACCATCAGACAGAGGAGACCCTACCAGTATCAGTAGTACCATCAGACAGAGGAGACCCTACCAGTATCAGTAGTACCATCAGACAGAGGAGACCCTACCAGTATTAGTAGTACCATCAGACAGAGGAGACCCTACCAGTATCAGTAGTACCATCAGACAGAGGGGACCCTACCAGTATCAGTACTACCATCAGACAGAGGAGACCCTACCAGTATCAGTACTACCATCAGACAGAGGAGACCCTACCAGTATCAGTAGTACCATCAGACAGAGGAGACCCTACCAGTATCAGTAGTACCATCAGACAGAGGAGACCCTACCAGTATCAGTAGTACCATCAGACAGAGGAGACCCTACCAGTATTAGTAGTACCATCAGACAGAGGAGACCCTACCAGTATCAGTAGTACCATCAGACAGAGGGGACCCTACCAGTATCAGTACTACCATCAGACATAGGAGACCCTACCAGTATTAGTACTACCATCAGACAGAGGAGACCCTACCAGTATTAGTAGTACCATCAGACAGAGGAGACCCTACCAGTATCAGTACTACCATCAGACAGAGGAGACCCTACCAGTATCAGTAGTACCATCAGACAGAGGAGACCCTACCAGTATCAGTAGTACCATCAGACAGAGGAGACCCTACCAGTATCAGTAGTACCATCAGACAGAGGAGACCCTACCAGTATCAGTAGTACCATCAGACAGAGGAGACCCTACCAGTATCAGTACTACCATCAGACAGAGGAGACCCTACCGTATCAGTAGTACCATCAGACAGAGGAGACCCTACCAGTATCCTAGTACCATCAGACAGAGGAGACCCTACCAGTATCAGTAGTACCATCAGACAGAGGAGACCCTACCAGTATCAGTAGTACCATCAGACAGAGGAGACCCTACCAGTATCAGTAGTACCATCAGACAGAGGAGACCCTACCAGTATCAGTAGTACCATCAGACAGAGGAGACCCTACCAGTATCAGTAGTATCAGTATACATCAGGAGACCCTACCAGTATTAGTAGTACCATCAGACAGAGGAGGACCCTACCAGTATCATAGTAGTACCATCAGACAGAGGAGACCCTACCAGTATCAGTAGTACCATCAGACAGAGGAGACCCTACCAGTATCAGTAGTACCATCAGACAGAGGAGACCCTACCATATCAGTTAGTACCATCAGACAGAGGAGACCCTACCAGTATCAGTAGTACCATCAGACAGAGGAGACCCTACCAGTATCAGTAGTACCCTATCAGATCAGAGGAGACCCTACCAGTATCAGTAGTACCATCAGACAGAGGAGACCCTACCAGTATCAGTAGTACCATCAGACAGAGGAGACCCTACCAGTATACAGTAGTACCATCAGACAGAGGAGAGAGACCCTACCAGTATCAGTAGTACCATCAGACAGAGGAGACCCTACCAGTATCAGTAGTACCATCAGACAGAGGAGACCCTACCCTACCAGACAGAGGAGGACCCTACCAGTATCAGTAGTACCATCAGACAGAGGAGACCCTACCAGTATCAGTATTAGTACTACCATCAGACAGAGGAGACCCTACCAGTATCAGTAGTACCATCAGACAGAGGAGACCCTACCAGTATCAGTAGTACCATCAGACAGAGGAGACCCTACCAGTATTAGTAGTACCATCAGACAGAGGAGACCCTACCAGTATATCAGTAGTACCATCAGACAGAGGGAGACCCTACCAGTATCAGTAGTACCATCAGACAGAGGGACCCTCCATTATTAGTAGTACCATCAGACAGAGGAGACCCTACCAGTATTAGTAGTACCATCAGACAGAGGAGACCCTACCAGTATCAGTAGTACCATCAGACAGAGGAGACCCTACCAGTATCAGTACCATCATACAGAGGAGGACCCTACCAGTATCAGTAGTACCATCAGACAGAGGAGACCCTACCAGTATCAGTAGTACCATCAGACAGAGGAGACCCTACCAGTATCAGTAGTACCATCAGACAGAGGAGACCCCCGAGGGACCCTACAGTATCAGGTTACTACCATGTGAGGTGACCTACCAGTATAGTAGTACCATAGACAGAGGAACCTACCAGTATCAGTTTACCACATCGAGTGACCCTACCAGTATAAGTCTACATCGACCGAGAGACCCTAACCAGTAATTGATATTACCATCAGACATGGGACCCTACCAGTATTAATACCACCATCAGCAAACAATTTCATGTGGCAGATGGTTGTAAGATAATTAAGACCTCTGTTTGCAATCAGGAGCTAATTCCTTACTCCATGATCTAAAACAGTGGTTCCCACGGGAATTTTTCTGACACAATTATTCACATGTTATCAATTGTTTTACAGTGTATTCATCACATTTGTAAATTCGTTCGTTCCAAAAGTAGGAACCAAAGTACACCAGCCCTTCTACCACACCAAGGTTAGGGTTGTGTCACATGGGTCCATGCCATCTTTTAATCTCGTGCCGACCTTGTCCTTCAAAGTAATTCTATCTTTATGTAATTTCTCTTTGTCTGTCAGTTTTCCTCTATCTCTTATTCCTTATGGGTTTCTGTTAAGGCACATTATTCTGTTATCACGTTTTTTTTCAGTGTTATTTATCCAATGCCTGCATCTTTAATTTACCTTTCAATTCTTGCCCCTTGATCACATTGATTCTTTTAAAGTGTCTACTGCATGTTTTTGACATCAAGGGTTCTGTTTACTGTTACTTAATTAACCACATCACGCTGGCTTCGAGATTGGGTAGGGTAATCCCCAGACCGTCCAATAGTATAGGGGGTTATGTACTTACTTAGAGTCGTGCTCCTTCTTTTAGCACAGCAGACAGAGCGGAATCATGCTCTTTGTATTAAGGAAAGGAGGAACTTTTACCTGCCCTAATTGGTATCAGCCTAAACTCCCATGCCTCGCTATAGCACACTGGTAAGATTAGGAAGGTGCCAAGAAATATTTTGTTCAACAAAATTATTTTGCTTGTGTTTGAAAATGTCAATAATGAACTTTTGTATCTCTGATGGGGGTGAAGGGAGAGCCACGTTTGAATTCTCTACACGCTTTATGATTTTTATAAAACTTAACCTGCAGAGCCCATGGCAACAGCACTAGCCATGTGGCCCTATTTCCTCAGGCTCAAAGATGCCCCCCCCCCCCAACCGTCAATCCTACAAATGCAAAAGGCAACCCCAGACTTGAGTGTGGGTGTGGGGGGGGGGGGGGGGATTTGAGGGACTGAAGACAAATCAAGCAGTCAAATGTTTCCAGACTCCGGGTCAGTGAATCAAGGTGTAGTTTCAGCACACCTGCATAATTTGAAGCAAGTTCAGTTGCACTATCTTGTCAAACCTGTAACTCAGTACACTCAGTTTCTACAAGTATTTTTTAAAGGTTCAAATAATTAAATCTACTTCACGTTCAGCAACGGTAAACTCTGGCATAATATTTTTTTTGGGGGTCCAATTCTGGTCTTTAGCCTTGTTCCAGAACTTGATGTTTGTGTGCACATCCGTTTTACCGGTCTAGCTTTTTATGTACACCTCTAGTTCCTCACCCAGAAGATGGACTCTGACTTTGAAGAAAACACCCTGATTAGTGAAATTTTGCGACGCTTGTTGAGGGGGAGGGGGGGGGGGGGTTATTTTCCCTCCACGCAGGTGAAAAAAAATGTAAATTAATATAACACATTTTTAAAACGACACAGATATTCTTTCCAATGTTTGTTTAGTGAGCACTCAAATTTTGCAAGCAGAAATGTTTTAGTCTGAAAATTACACATTGCAGAAGGTTGCTGAAGAATTGCTCAGGCCACGTAAGCTGAAAATACAGAAGGAGGTTTTAAGCATTTCCTCATGTGAAATGAAAATTTTTTTTTAATTTATGTGTGAATAAATGAACATACAAAAAACATTTGGGGCTCGCTGTGGTATTGGCAGCTAGACGCCCGCCTGCAGATCAGAAGGTCGTGGGTTCGCGTCCAGACAAAGCTGGACTTTCCCCTTCAAAAATGACCTTGACTCTCAGGTCGACCAAGCCTTGAGTGGGTACCAGGTGCAGTCCTGGGAAGTAACAGTGGCCAATGTGATGCTGACCACATAACTCACCGTGCCGTTTGGTCTATAAAAAATATATAGGTCTAGCCCTCTATTCCCAATATGCCTAAAGGTGTGGAAAATGGACCTTTTACAACAAACAGTTATGTTTTTGTAGCTAAATGAGCAGCAGCATCTAACACCTGTGAGTAAAGAATATAAAAATAATAATATGAGAATCAACACTTAAAAGACAGAAGTAGAGTTAACAGGAAGACAATCAGCACAGAGACACTCTTATACAAAGCATATTCATTAACAATCTATGCTACAAGTGCCAGAAATGGTCACTCAGAACAAACCATAAAAGAAAATTAGTAATCACAGAAATAAGATGTCCCAGAAGGGCTGTAGGAGTGGACCCCCCCCCCCCCTCCCCAATAAATAAATCAGAAATGGGGTCTTAAGATAAAAGTTGGCCCAGAATTTTCAATTACATATAAAGACAACAAGCTGAATGGTCTGTCCACTTAGAGAGAATGTTTGTGATGCTACACCATACAAGGCACACACCAAAAGAGAAAGATGTACAGCACAAGGTAGACCCAACAAAAATATGTGAAGACAACATCAGAGAAACTTCACAACAGCACAATGTGTCTAAGTTTGAGGTGGGCACAAGCAGAACCTTATATCTTCTTCGACATTTGAAGTGGTAAAAGAGGAAATGAAGAAGTAAATGAACATTATACAAGAAGTATATGTTTTTGTTTATGTGTAGCTGATTGAACAGAACACAAAAATACATGTATGTATCAGAATACAAATATATCTTTGTCTAACTAAATGAATGTAAAACACAGATGTTAATGAATATAACACACAAATATATGTATGAATAACTGAATGAGCATAACACCAAAATGTTTGTAGTGTTACTAAATGAATATACGACACAAATGTTTGTATGTTTGTATAATTAGATAAAAATAATAAAGTATATGTATGTGTAACCAAATGAACACAATACACAAACTATATGTATGAGTATCCAATTAATAGGAAAAAATATATGTATGTATAACTAAATAAACATAACAGCCACACAAAGTGTAGGAAGTTCAATACAGGAAAAAAAAGATGCACACATATACGCCCAAACATTTTAACCAAAGTCGTCATCACCAACCAATGACGAAGTCATCTACTGGCCAGCCAGCTGATGACCCGGTCACTGATGCAGTCATGGGCAAAGTTCTGAATCTTCAGTCTTAAATTTCTTATACATATGGCTGTAGAGCTGTTGTGTCCTGCATGCAATTTAAATGTAAATGTCTTTTTTTTTTTTCAGTTTAAAGACATTGTCTGGTTTTGGCTTTTTTGTTGCTGTTGGCATGTGTTGCAATGTTCGTGCAGCCAAAAGACTTGAAGTACTAGACTGCAATATGACGGCAAAACAGAAGTCTGCTGCTACTGTTCAAAAGAGCCAACTGGGTTGTGACTAGATCTGTGGAGCTTCATGCTTTTTTTTTTTTTGCAACATTTTCTTTGGGCAGGTAGACACTGCAGAGAGAGACTGAGCCTTATGACAAAAATCTGATCTTGCATTTAAAGCACATAAAACAGTCACAAGATTGTGCGACTTACGCTTCTCGTGTGAAAGTTTCCAGATTAATTTGGTCCATATCGGCTCCATGTGGAGTGAGGTCAAACTCCCTGGCTCCTAGGGTTATCATGGCTGAAATATGTAAATACAAAGTCGAGAATTGAAAACCAACATCATAGCGGTCAGGGTATTCCCATATGCTTTGTATCTGTTTAGTAGCCAGTGCAGAGTTTCAATACAAATAGTCCCAGCTGTAGTCGGATTATGTGTTTGTCTTGCCTTTCCTTGGATCTGATCATTTTGGTAATCTTAGTTTCAGCTTCATAGCAAATTGGTCGCCCCATAGTTGTTCCTCTCCTGTGCCAACGAAAACACACAGAATGTTTATTACAGTCCCTTGTCGAAAGATTGACAGACTGCTGTCTCAGCATATGCACTAGCATACACATTCATTAAAAGCATACGGTGCCATCTAAAGTGCTAACACAAACAGTCCAACATTAGAAATGCAGTTCATCATCGATGGTATCAGAAGTCACCAACAGATTAGCAGTTGCATATGCGATCAATTTTAATCACATAAGGGCACCACCTTTATTGCGACGTCAGACAAGGCGCAATTTTCTGAATCTACAATTCGCACCACCATGTTGGTCACAGTCAATAAACAAAAATCCGCAGCTCACAGTGTCAGGCCATGCACACAACTCAGAAGCTGGGCGATGAAACTATATCCTTTCAGTCTACAAATGGAGCAAAAATGCAATGGCCACCATCTCGCAGAAGCAAAAAATTTGCCACAACAAAACAGTGACAGTGCCTAGCGTCCATTTTGACCAAAAGTTTTTTTCCGGTCTTTGTAGACGTTACAGATTGGTTCTCTTTCACACCATACTGGATACTGTAAAAACATATATATATACACATAGAAAGTCAACACTGTTGAGATGAGAAGCCTTATGAAAGCCAGCAATCTAATTATCTGAGATCAGAGTAGAAATGATAGCTTTCTTTACTGCCTACAGCAGTGATTCCCAAACTGCGCCGCAGTGAAGAGGTCACGGCTCCCCAGGGGCGCTGCAAAACATTTGATGATAAACAAGTTTTTTATTTTGTTTTATTATCTTTTACATACGAATAGTCACACTTTTACTTAGGTTAGGGCGCTGTGGAAAAATGTTAACCGAAAAAGGCGCCACGACTAAGAAAAGTTTAGGAAACACTGGCCTACACTACCATTTTTGTTAGGGCAGATTAGGACAGGAGGTCTTGAGGCTGAGGTTTTGGGCCTACATGGTTATTGCAGTCCAAATCTGCAGGTTGGGATGCTTAATTTTACCCTTGAAAGAAAAAACAAAACCATATCCATCACCTTACAGAAGATTCAAACCTGTCACCTGCCAAGCAGTCTAACCACTTGGCCAACCAGTTGTCTTCTTCATCGATCTGGTCACATGTTGTTTTGCAGCTCCGCCAGGAATGGACAGTCTTGCAAGATGTGTTATAAGATCTGTTTAGTCTGAAGACACTGGCAGAGGACTGTTTGGCTTATTCCTAATTTATATGACTGTTGAGTCTGCAATGTCCAGAGCATAAGTGAACAATGGTAACTTGGTCAGTTCTGTTAGATGTTCAAGGACATCTTTTTTATATCCGGTGTCATTCATCAGTGAGAAATGATGCTGTAAGAAAAGACCGTAGGAGCAGCTTGTTTAAGATAAGTTGAGAAACAGATAAAATGACTTGGACATCTAGTTAGAATGTAGCAAACTCATAAAGCAACACAGGTGCTACATCTAAGAATAGCTGAAACCAGACCAAGAGGGTGACCGAGAAGAATATGAATTGACAACATTAACCTGTCGCCCCGACAGTCACTTCAAGTCTTTACACAGACCATAAATTCAGAAATATCACAATGTCTTTTGTGACCAGTTCTGGAAAACTGTAGTTAAAATTTCACTGGGTCTGTTTACCCGTGCAGTGTTTAATAAGCCAAGATATTAATTTAGTAACTATAAACAGCATTTAGGTAAGGCTTCCTCATGACCCCTATGGCTTTTTTAAAGCCAAGTTCATGTCAAATTTTCCTCTAAGCCTCAGTGATAGAGATTATGACATGAATACAATTTAATTTGTTAGTTTAGGCCCCAGGGAATGAATTCCATTTAATGCTTCACTTTGTTCATGTTTATTTATTACACCTTTATATAACTTCATATATTTCAACAATTATATTTAAAAAAAAATTAAATGTACATTTAATTAAAAAATAAAATTTTAAAAAACAATTGTTAAACGTATATTAATCATCTGTGTAATATGGTTTTTTATATAAAGGATTTTTTAATGGGAATTTCCACAGCTTCATTACCCAATTTTTTTTTTGGTAAAGACATTGTGCATTTATACAGTTGAACAATCACCAGTGCCATTCATGAGGTATTGGACCACAAACTTGGCCTCCCTATGATTCTTAGTGGGAAAAGTGGAAGAATATGATGATGGTATATATAAAAAAAATACAATCAACTATTTTATTAGGTAGTTATTATTGTCATAAATGGCTTGGCCACATTATGAGAATGAATCATGATATACCTGCCAAAACAGCTCTCACATGGATACCAGAGGGAAAGAGAAAACAGGGGCGCCCAAAAACAACATGGAGAAGAACGATGGAAAGTGACCTGCGTGCTGCATTTTTGACATGGAAAACTGCACTGAAGATTGCACAGGACAGGAAAGCATGGAAAGTCCTCTCTGAAACCTCATGTGTCACTAGGCACAACGAGAACTGATGATGATGATTGTTGTCATAATAAATAACTATAATCTTTCTACCTTCATGGTACTGCTTCAGAGTAACAAAACCACGGCCAGTGGGATCCAGCATGCCAAACACTGATCGAATGTTGGACTCGTCAAATAAGCAAGGGTAGTTTACTTTTTTCACTCTTGCCTTCTGTAGATTCTCCAGGGCCTCTATCAAAAATGCTTTGGGATTGTCTTAAAAACAAAAACAAATTAAAAAGGCATCAGTAGCAAATAACATCCTAACCTGAATGGGATGACAGCCTTCACCAGGCTTGTGTAGCCATTAGGTGTGCCGCAATTATAACTTCTGTTTTTTTTTTAAGGTCGAATGGGGTTTCTTGGATTTTCACTGATGGCTTGCCATCCAGACAGAAAATTTGTAATCTCAGGGTGGTCAAACTTTCAGGTAGAACACCCCAAATAGAGAACAAATGCAGGAAAGATTCACTGGTAGCATGATTTCATACCTACTCCATCTGTCCATTTGAAGCTGTGGTGGCTAGACACATGTCAGTCTTGGGTTCAAGTCTGCATCATGGCAGAGTTCTTTATAATTTTAACTGATACCATTAATATGTTGTAAGAGAGAGAATTTCAGTCATGGACTCTCACTCAGTCATTAAAGAAAAATTTAGCTTCTGAAAATAAGAAAAAGAAAAACGCTAACATAATACATGTTCTGAACATCAAGGAGAATTGACTCACAAATAGTATCCTGTCCCAAAGGCTAGGTATTTTGGCCATATTTAACGTCAGGGTGGCCTGAAGGAAACTGTGATGAAAGGTACAGTTTATGGAAAATGTGGCAGAGGTGTACCTCTGCGAAGCATGAGAATGACCTTCTTTAAAGAACTTGCTGACTGATGATGAAGAAAGAATAATAGTATATTATGCCAGAATACTTTAAATATTCCCAGATCACTTCAAAAATTCACAAAGATAAAATACACAACATGATTATCAGTTATTTGAAAAAGCACACTTAACAAAAATTAAACCTAACAATTTTAACTCCCACAATATGTTAAAATAAATACATTATCTAAGCAGTAATAAATAACACAATAATTAACACACATAAATATCCAATACTAATAAAAAGAAAAACAAAAACTATTTATCCCAATTATAACTAGGGCTGTACCGAATATTCGCTTCGTGGCCTAATAGTGGACCTATTGACTATTCGGTATTCGGCCGAATAGTTGCGGTCCGGCCGAATACGAACAGTAGTTACCTTACACCTGCTTCTGCATACACGGCCTTAATACTGACAACATGGCAAGATAGGTTTTGTTGAAAGCTAATGCAGCTTTCCTGCATTAACTAAGCTGTCAGTGACAATTTCCAAGTTTAGTTACTTGTTATAATACTTAGGATTCTTTCCCTCCTAGTTATTAGTTACCACAGACTGACTGAAGGATGCAAAACAAAGTGTTTTTAAATGTTTACTATTCTGTATGAATACTAACTAGACATGCAAAGAATATAAACTCCGGCCACATCTAAGTCGATAATATGAAAATCAAACGAACGGAAACATATAAGTACTTGGGTGCAAACTTCAACTGCTCCAACATGCTGAGAGAAGAAATACAATCTAGAAATAAAGTATACTATGACCTTCAACATCTGCTAAAGTCAAAGTGTCTGTCTCGCAACACCAAGATCAAAATATATAAAAACGTTGATAAGACCAGTCGTTTTATATGGCTCTGAAACTTGAAGCAGAAATGAAAAAGATTAGGCCTTATTACAGGTTTTTAGAAACAGCCTGCAGCAGTAAACCTCAAGGGCTCAGAATGCTAAAGAAGAAGATGACTATTCTGCGTTTCTTTAGGTGAAGTAAAAGTTCAGCGTACATTTGACATTATGAATGTTTTTGTTGTTGTTGTTGATATATTTCATACACTATTCACTATTTGTATTCATATTCGGCCGAATAGTTGGTCCCGTTATTCATATTCGGCAGAATAGTAAAAATCACTATTTGGTACAGCCCTAATTATAACCCAGGTTGGTTGGTGAAAATCACTATTCGGTACAGCCCTAATTATAACCCAGGTTGGTTGGTGAAAATCACTATTTGGTACAGCCCTAATTATAACCCAGGTTGGTTGGTGAAAATCACTATTCGGTACAGCCCTAATTATAAACCAGGTTGGTTGGTGAAAATCACTATTCGGTACAGCCCTAATTATAACCCAGGTTGGTTGGTGAAAATCACTATTCGATACAGCCCTAATTATAACCCATGTTGGTTGAACAGGATATCACAGATAAAAATTACTGCTACTCTTTAATTGACCAGGGCAACAGGGTCCCTGATTAAACATCCAAGTCTATCGGTAAGCACCAGCTGGGAGCTCAACGTTAAAATTCTGAGAGTATGCATTTTTCCTGTAGTAACATATGGACGTGAGTCGTGGACTATCTCCTTAAGAAAGTAAATAGGGGCTTTTGAGCTGAAATGCTACTGAATACCATGGATATAGAAGAGAAGAAATACTGACACTTTAAAAGATCTAAAAGGTAAAGTCGGGAGATGTGAACCAGCGTCATTGCACACGGTTATAAACCATAAGTGCTCTGCCACCAGTACGGACAGCTGATAAGAATTGTCCGCATGTGTCGCCGTTCGCACGTAACTCTATAGCTACAGCGACATTCCTCCATTTACCCCAGAGTGTCAACACTGGTACCCATTTCCTAGAGGCTGGGTGAAGCGCCGCCCGTGGGCTGCAGCGGGATTTGAAAGCGAGCCTCTTATCGACTGTGCTAACGCAGCCCCTTTAAAAGATCTGAACTTCCATATATATTTTTAAAGCATTAAGTAATGTAATGACAACAGATCAGATGGTTCGGACATTTGTCTAGACCACCACGAGACAGTGCCCCACTGTGAGCCCTGTCACTTAGAAATATTAGAAATAATGAAAGCAGAGCCACGCAAGCTATGGACAGATGGTGTATCTGTGGTTATAAACACCAGCATCTACGTAACACGCACCACCAAGGCTCGCACCAACGCCTCTTCAGAACCTGACGCTAAAAGGCAGATCAAGAAAAGAGAAGAAGATGTAATTTAATATTCAAAACAGTAAATGTAATAGTTAATAATAATATAATATTAATAAATTAATAAAAATAAATTGTATTTATAATTTAGTTTTTATTTTTACTTTTAACTGTGCAAAATAAAATATACACACCACAGACGCCGACACACTTAGTGCAGCCAGCGAAAAATCTATACACAGAAGAATCTCGAAACAGTTACCTGGCCTAGTGTAGATCAACTGTGCCGTTAAATTATTGAACAGATCTTGGATGCGATGTTTCAATAAATATTCCGTGGCATCGTTGCTTTTCAGTTTCATTTCTTGCATGGCGTCCATTTTGAAGCTGATTTGGTTGCCGTGGTAATCCAT